GGCGCTAGAAAGCGACTAGACTAATATCTATACGGTGTATCGAGTATGACGTCACTCTTTTGGAAGAGTTACTCCACCGTAACATGTATTTATACTACATGTACTAGGCGACCGAGTAATGAGGTGAGATAATGGATCCCTGTTTTCTCACTCGTGTGAGTCTTACGTGTCATTATTGATATGACTTTCATTTATGTACCCTTTTGTGACTTTTGACTATGTCAGAAGGTAAGGGGTTGATGTTTTGCTACTTTGGTATGTTGCCTACGGTCATGTACGATTCGGCCTTAAGGGACATCACTGGGAAAACGGTCAATCCTAAACTAAATGGCATGAGGGCAAAGGGAAAATCATCTAGTATTACACCACTATTGTATATTCACTGACGGCAACTCACATCGCTCTGTATGAGAGGCGGATTGAGTGTGAATATATTGCAAGAATTGAGAGGGTCAAACATGCTCTTTTTGAGGGATTAGAGATGTTTTTTGGACCGGTGTAATTAGATGGGTCTGGGGTATATGAGACACTATTTTTGTTCTTTTTGGGTTGATGTCTCTATGCTGGCTCATTTTGAGTTTCTAGTATAGAGCTCCCATATGCAGGTGTTCTTAGCAGTCGCACGGTGCATTGGCTAGTATAAGATTGTTCTTTTTTGGGGAGATTGAGATAGAGATGTGGCAGTGTCATGCCAACTCACGTGCGAGTGGGAGATGTTAGAAATTGGGCGCCCATGTGGCATGACCCTTTGAACCTTTTGAACCTGAACCTTTTGAACCTTATCCATGTAAGTTTGAATTTAATTCAAACTTATTTGGATAACCATTCAGGATATCTATATCTATCATATCAATAGATATGGATAGATGTATAGATAGATATTGGTTATATATCAGATTATACGGTTGTCTAACACATTGATATCAGATACGTTATGTGGTTTTTAACCATAACCTTTTTTCCCAGACTCTCTCTCTGACTCTCTCCCACTAAAAAACGATTAAGCCATTTTACACTGTGACTTGTGTGGGTGATGCTCATTTTGTAGTATCACTCTACTACTGGGTTCGTTGTTCGGATTCTGGAAGCACGTGATTTACCCACGAGGTTCTATCACCTAAAGGTATGATCTAAATATTTTTCCCGCTGCGCTATAATACTTCATGATTTACAAATAATGTTCACCTTCACCAGTATAATCTAACACTTTATACTCATCATCTTCGCTATTATAATCTTCACCATTATTTTTCAAAATCAAAACATTATTGCCTTTGAAGATTTAAGGTTTTAAGAACATTGAAATCAATTAGTTTTGGATATTTGCACACCATGAATGATATTAGTTGCCAGTTGGTAACTTTGTTTGAGACTAATAAGCACAAAAAGATATAATAAACTAAATAAGCTAATAAGATAAAATGCTACATCCAAACTGTAATTATTTCATTTTTTCTCTTACATCCATCACATCCAAACCAAAAAAAAAGTCAAAAGTTTTTCTCAAACGAAACTAATTTAACCATGTTAAATTAGCCAAAAAATCAACAAGTCACGCTAAATTTACTCTTCCCAAATAAAGCTTCAGATTGTTTATTTGGAACAATACAACAATGAAAATGTCAGTTTACTTTTTTGTTTATCTCGTTCGTATAGAAAATGACTTGTTTGTTCGTTACAGATTCGAACAACCAGAGTTGACCAGTTATAAAATGTTCAGTTATTTATATTTCAACAACATTATTTTATTCAAATTATCAAGGTTAATTAAATATTAAATGTTCATACATAAAAAAATTGAACACTTTGATTGTGACATGTACTAGTTTATTAGCTTAATTAAGGTTAAAAAGGAAAAGTTATGGTGTGAACTGAGATATTTTCATAATCTAAAAGTATAATGTACATGTACTAAGTAATGATGTGTACTAAGAAAATCAATGGTGTAAATAGAATAAAAAAAAAATACAGTAAGTTTTACAATTTTTGTATAATTACATTAGACTCCTTTAAGATTTTAATTCATTTAGCACTTAGTTTTCTTTCCGACAATGATTTGCTAGTCGTTTGAGAAAATTATGTAAATTTATAAGCACACTAGCAGTTGACCCGTGCAATGCATGTACTATTTTTTTTTTAAAAAAAAAAAAATTGATGGTACAATGTTATAAAAGAATAATTTAAAATTAAAATTAAAATTAAAGTATGGTTTTAATTATTTATTTTGATAATATTAGCGCTATCGTTCTATAAAATTGTTACTTGAATACTTATATATATTAATTTTAGTTAAATTATTTGTGTATTTTAATAATTTTAGTTCTATCATATTATAAAAGTGTAATTATCATATAATTTGGTATGATATATATTAAATTATAAAGAGTGCTGCTATTAACAACTCATAAATTATTTTGGACCCCTGAATTTTTAACTTTTTTTATTACAATAATAACCTCAAATAAAATTACTAAAAAGGACATCATTAGTTTTGGGACACTCCATCTCACAATTAAATTTACACACCCACTACATCATGAATTAAGGTTTATGAGAGCACCCACCTCCATCACCACCCATCTATCTTCTCCAAATCCCACCTTCAAAACCTACCCACCCTTAAAATCTTGAAAACTCTTTAGTGGCAATATTATAGTGGTAACAGTGGCAATCATTTGACTACCTGCACTTCTCCAGCAATGATAATGAGTGGAAGTTTTTTGGTAACCACAACTCCATAAGACGAGATGAGTACAACAATAAAACTTTAGAGAAGATTCATAACTTTGATGTTGTTCTTAGTTTAGAAGAGATTGGCCTTGTAAGGGTTAGTTTCTTGAAAAAAATGGCAAAAATAATAAATCTGTTCGTTATTTTTTCGGGATTGAACTCCCAAACATATGACCAAATTCGGGAACACAAGCCTGAACATTGTTTATTTGTTCGAAACCAATAACCGTACATTTATTATTTGTTTGAGAATGCAGGTTCGAACGTGAAAATTTCTTAACACATTGAACGGTCAAAATTGTTAACGTTTGTAGAAGTTTACATTTTTTCAAGTTCGGAAATACAGGCCCGAACATTACTTATTTGTTCTGGAATTCCCGAACAAATAAGTAATGTTCGAGAATGTAGGTTCGAACATGAAAATTTCTTAACACATTTAATAGTCAAAAATTTTAACACTTGTAGAAGTTATATATATATATATATATATTTTTTTTTTGGATCAGCAAAGAAAATGGAATTTTATTGATAAAGAAGAAGAACAAAAAAAGCTTGGCAGAAATGCATCATAGTTCAAAAATACATCCCAGCGAGGTTGGCACATATTAAAGAACCCAATCATGTACAGGCACAAGCCGAAGGAGGGCTGAAGAGCAATCAGCCAAGGGAGATACAAAGAAGAGAACAAGCAAAAACCAAAACATCAACCTGAGAGCCTAGCTTTGTAGCCCTTGATACCATGTAGGCAAGACAGAAAGTCATAGATTGAGAATTCAGGCAGGTTAATCGATTGTTTGACCCAAAACGCAATCTTGATCTTAATGTTCTCCACCAAATCCACCCAAGTAGGTTCCTTAGAGTTAAACACCTTTTCATTCCTAGCAATCCAAATGGTTCAGAGAATTGCCAAAGGCATGGCTTCCCAAATAAATCTTCCCAGGTGCTTTCTATTTTGACCAAACCACCAAACCAACAATTCTTGAAGGGAACCAGGAGAGACCCACATAATGCCCTACCAATTGATAATTTCAGACCAAATCCTCCAGGAATAATAACAATGAATGAGCAAATGAACTATTGATTCTTCTTCATTACCACAAAATGCACACTGAATGGGAGTGTGGATGATATGCCGTCTGAGAAGAAGATTAGCAATTGCAATTCGATCCCACCACACCAACCATCCAAATGCCTTTATCTTCAGAGGCGCAACTGACTTCCATAATTTCATGACAAGAAAAGATGGCAGCTGAAGAGAGTTCTCAAATAAATCATAAAGAGATTTAACAGAGAAGATACCTGATGAAAGGGAAGACTATATCAGTTTGTCCTCCACAGGAGCTCTATATCTTTGGACCTGCTGCAACCTCCCAAGCATATCATGATGCAATTCCTCTTCTCAAGCTCTCAATGCTCTCCTGTATGAAATACTCCACTCCATCTGATTGCCCAAAATCTTATGTAGCATATATTGATGAACAAAAGAGTCCTTATCATTTGCAAGTGAAAAGAGTTTGGGATATAGGGAGGACAAAGGTGAATCAGAAAGCCAACCATCAGTCCAGAATTTGATCTTTCTACCATCGCCGAATATGAATTGGAGGTTATCGAGGAACAAATTATGGACTCTTGAATTGCATCTTTCCAAGTCCAAAATAGACTTCCAAACCACTGAGCAATTCCTGAAGGTTGAGGAACTTGGCAGCCAAGTGTTAGAATTAATATTATTTTTCGCACATAAGACTTTCTTCCACAGAGAGTCAGGTTCCTTAGCAAACCTCCACCACCATTTGCAAAGAAGTGCCTCATTATTTTCCTTAGATTTCCTAAACCCAAGACCTCCAAACTTTCTACTCAAAGAACAGGCCTCCCAACTAACCAGATGGAGCTTTTCTTCTCTTCACTGTCCTTCCAGAGAAAGGATTTTTGGAACTTGTCAATGGTGTTTGCCACTTTGGAGGGAATTCTAAAAAGAGACATATGATAAAGGGGAAGCGAAGATAAAACTGATTTAACTAAGGTAATTCTAACCCCTAAAGAGAGGTATCTTCTTTTCCATGATGGTAGTCTTTTCTTAACCTTATCAATGATAGGTTCCCAAGTTGCAGCTCTCTTAGGATTAGCTCCTAGAGGCATACCTAGGTATTTGATTGGTAATTTACCCACCGAACAATTGAAATACTCAGCCACTTGAGATGTGAAATCATCATTGGTACCAACACCACATAACATCGATTTCTGAAAGTTGATTTTTGAAAACAACAGAGTACTCATCGTAAATTAATTATCTCATTCCAGTCTGGGTAACAAAATATGAGAGTGTCATCGGCAAATTGCAGATGAGTTAAATTCAACCCAACAAGACCAATATCAGGCCTTTTAATGAGGTTCAAAATTTTGGCTTTCTTCATGAGAATGTTTAATCCCTCAACAACAAGATTAAAGAGAAAGGGAGAAAGAGGGTCACCTTGTCGTAGTCCTCTATGTGGGGAGAATTCTTGTGTGGGGGATCCATTTACCAAAACAGAGATATGTGATGATGATATACATTCAGCAATCCATGAGACCCATTTCTCACCAAAACCAAACATTTGAAGCAAGTGGAGAAGGAAATTCCAATTGACACTGTCAAATGCTTTCTCAAAATCTAGCTTTAAAAGAAGTCCACCCCTAGAGTTGTGCTTCCAAAGATCAACTACTTCATTAGCTATAAGAATTTCATCCAAGATTTGTCAGCCCTTGACGAAGGCAAATTAGGATTCATCAACCAGTTTAGGCAGAACTGATTTCAATCTCCTGAACAAAATCTTAGCAAGAATTTTATAAATACAGCCTATCAGACTGATAGGCCTATAATCAGACAGAGATGATGGATTTGGTAATTTTGGAATCAAGGTAATAAATGAAGAGTTTATACCTTTAGATAATTTGCAGTTAAGATAAAACTCCTTAATAAATAAGCAAATATCCTCCTTAATGATTGGCCATCTCTTTCTAATAAACTTCATATTGAAACCATCTGGTCCTGGTGCTTTGTTCCCTTCACACTCCCTGACTGCATCCCAGATTTCTACCTCTAAAAATGGCAATTCCAGCCATTTTGCATCATCAATTGAGAGTTTGTGCTCAAAAGAGCCTAAAAATTTTGGTCTTAAGGGCCATCTTTCTGAAAAGAAATTCTGAAAGTGCATTTTGACTTCCATCCTGATCTGTTCTGTATCTTCAATATTGGACCCATTTACAATTACGCTTCCCAATGAGTTTTTCCTCTGTCTTGAACTAGCCACCATATGGAAAATTTTGGAGTTTTTATCCCCCTCCTTGAACCAAATTTGTCTTGATTTTTGCAGCCATGTGATCTCAATCAGTCTTAAAATCTTACAATATTCAGACTTAAGGTTTCTCTTGATTTGCATGTCATTATCAGACAATGAGTTTTGTTTCATGTAAAAGATCCAGAGAATGCAGTTGCCCAATCAAAGAAAGCTTATCGTTTAACTTGACAAATTCCTTTTTATTCCACTGCTTGAGAGAAGTTTTAACCTCTTTTAACTTCATTGAGACTTTATGTCCAACCCATTCCTGTAAAGCACATCTGGACCAAGCCTCTTTAACAACTCTTATAAAGTTAGGATGAGATATCCAGGCATTAAGAAACTTGAAGGGCTTTGGCCCCCAATCTCTATCATCTTCCATGAGAAGTATTGGACAATGATCGGATAAAGTCCTTTGGAGACCCCACTGTTTGAACTTAAACTTGTCTAGCTAATGAGAATGTAGGAGGAACCTGTTAACCCTGTTCCATCTGTCTGCCTCCTGATTATTAGACCAGGTGAAGGATCTACCCAGGAATGGCAGATCTCTTAATTCCATAGAGGATATAAAGTCTTTGAATTGTTTCATACTAGCTGATAATCTTAAGCATCCCTTTCTTTCCCCTATTTTAACAATTTCGTTAAAGTCCCCCCCAATACACCATGGCAGATCACAGCTAGATTTAAGATGTAGTAACTCCTCCCACAAAAGTTTCCTTGCATTAGCATCATTAAGGGCATATACATTCACTAAGACACACTTAAAATCAGAGCGGATAATACCTTTTAATATGATGAAATGGGACCCTTTAATACAGTCTGAAACTGAGAATGTAGCTCTGTCCCATACACAAAGAATTCCTCCGGAAAAGCCCAACGCATCCACTGCAACAACACCAGGGTCTGGATCTGGCCAAATTAAGTTAATTAACTGAGGACTGATAGCTAATAGGTTTGTTTCTTGTAAAAACAAGATTGAGACTTTTCTCTGAAAGATTAATCTTCTTATTCCTCTTTTCTTCTCTCTTTTCCCTAAACCCCTAATGTTCCAAGAGATTAACTTCATAGGTAAACAGATGGCATTCCCTTGAATGGTTTGAGAGGTTAAGAAACAGCCCCTTATGACCCTTTATCCACGGCCACAATAACATTTGGGCCCTGAATTTCCTTAATTTTGCTAACAACCTCAGCATCATGTTCATCACTATGGAGATCAAGCAACTTTCCAATTTTCCAATCCACTTCAGCTTCATTGAGTATAATACGATTACGGTTTGCAATTGCATCGGAAGATATAGATAGAGAGATCGTTGCAGCTGCTGATCGAAATGTTGCTGATTTTCCTCATTTCTTTCTTCCACCTCTTCTAATCTTTTCCCCAGCAGTGAAATTCTCAATTTCCTAAAACCTGTTGCAAGAGTTTCCTTTTGCTTTTCCTTTTTTCTAGACCCATATATGGTTTGGATGGGCCATCTAACACCTTCAAAGTATTACTGGAACTAACAAGAGGGACTGAATTAAAAGGTTTGGTGTGATTAGAGAAAGAATTTGGTACGAAGGAGGGAGAAGAATCACGAACATGGTCAGGCGAGGAAGGAGGAGGCAGGTAGGGATGATGGTTGAACAAATGTGGAGATGTGTCTACAGAGGACAAGGAAGTTTCGGGGATAATGATCTGATCAAGGACTTGGTCAGGCTCCACTACCTAGGCTTGATTTAAAGTGAATTGTCATGCACTATTAGAATGAGCACCAGCTTGAGTGTGGGCTATAGAGGAAGAATGGACTTTGGATAAGATTTGAAATGGGCTTGGAGGGCGTATTGTTTCAATAAATAAGTTGGATGGGCTAGGCTCGTTCAGAGGGAAGGATGACTTGTTAACAACTTGTTTGAGACTAGGATCATTGATAAGGCCCACTTCTGAAAAATTTGAATTAATAAACTCTTTAACTTCTTTTGATTGTTGAGCCTCGGCAGAAAACTTTTCCTGACAATCCAACTCCCCACGCAATGAAGGCAGCCTATTGACTGCTGGAATCCCAGCAAGAGAGTGTTGCGCATACCTAGAAGAAGAACTAATGGCCTTCTACCTACCCAGTACTAGTTGGTTTTTGTCCCTGTCATGAAGATGATCCACATCATCTGAAGATTCATCATCGTCCTCCTCCAAAGAGTCTCTTAGAAAGTCAGGAGAGATGTTAACCACTTGTTCCTCTACCACTTTGATATTGTACTCAACTCCTTTACAAACAAGATGTGCAAGACTATTGATAACCTCAAAATGGCTAGTGACAATCAGCATTTTCCCGCTTATAAAGGATACGCTAGACAATGTTGATTCATCAACTGAGAACACCTCGTCCCAAACATTTCCAATACTCTTGAAGGTGTTGAAATTCCATAGGTTTAGTGGAACACCATAACAGTTGATCCAAACTGCTCTAGTACAAGGATTATCACGCTTCCAAAATGACCATTCATTTACATCTTCAAACTTATTGTTGAACCACACTCCATCATTTTGTAGTATGTTCAGCATCTCTTCTCTTGAATCAAACGTTAGCATATAGGACTTACCCCCCATAGCACGGACTTGTATTCTACACGCATCCTCTGTAGAAAATGAATCTCTAATGGATTGGTCCGCAAACGCTAGGCTTGTTGTAACCACTATACTTCTATAAAGCCATCCATTGCCTCCTTCCTCTACATGAACCCTGATGTTATAGTCCTTAGCTTGATGACCTCCTTTTAGAGCTTCAGCATGGGAAGGTTTAAACTGATTTGTCTGTGACAGATTATGCCTCGGTACGGGCTGATTCGTCACTTGAGTGCTTGCTATTTTCTTCTAGATTGACTGGACATTAGCACGGTATAGTGGTCTTTCAAACCTAGCCGGTTTGACAATAAGTCTATGGTCTCCATACCATGCCCCATTGAATTTCTAAGACACCTCCTCCGCTGAAAATTGATTATCATAGCTTTAAACTTCTTAGTTCTTCTATTAGGGATTGAAGCTTGAATGACTTTGCCAAATCTCTAAAAAACGCCCTTGACTGAATCAACTTGCATATGCTCGGGCAAGTTGGCAACAAAAACAGTGAAAAACCTTTTAGTTCTTTTCTGCAACCTTGTCACCGTTGTCCATCCTTGATTATCCTTTTCACTCGCCATTACTCTCTCTGAAACCGTGACACATTGGTTAATTGTACGTAGCCTAAACCATTATTGGAAGTTATTCCTTCATCGCGTAACTTTGATAATATTGTTGCGTAGTTCTCAGCTGAACTCACAATTTTATAATATCTATCAACAAAACCAACCAAACCAATTATTGTTATTTTTTTCCTGCAAGAGAATAAATTATTACGAGAAAATTAAGAAATTATGTACATATGTATAGAGAGAGAGTGAGAGAGCGCACGCATACCAACTGTGATAATGGTGGATGAAGCAACAAAGACAGTAATCAAATTGGCTCTTCTTCTTCTTAGTGGGTTTTGTTAAGATTTTTTGGAAGAGCGATTTTTTTTGTAGTGTGGGGGGTGTGCATTCAATTGGTAGAATGTTTTCACAATAATAATTTTGATATTATTTTGGGGGGAAAAGAAATTTTGTGGGTTTCAAAATTTATAAATGGGGAGCCCAAAGAAATGAAGGGTCTAAAATAATTCATGAGGTGCTAATAGCACCACTCAATATAAAATAGTAAAATAAGTACTCATTTTGATATTAAAAATAATAGTTAAATTACAAGAAGAATTAGTAACATAAAATTAAAAGTAATTCTAACTATATAATTTTCTTTTATATTTATTTGGAAAATAAAAATATGTAAAAGTAGAAATTATATAAAATTTGTTAAAAAAATTAAATATAAATATGTCATAATTGGATTATCATATAAAGATTTTATATGATATATATATTAAATTATAAGATTGTAAAACAAATACTCTTAATTAAATTAAAGTATAAACTATATAAAAGAAATTCAACAACAACTAACCAATAAAGAATCACATAATAATATCTAAATCAAAAAAGGAAAAAATAATGAAAACATTTCAATGATAGATACATCTCAATGTGTAAAGTGATTAATCATTTGTAATATGATGTCAAAACATTAAAGACCTTATTGTTCAACAATTCAAAAAGTAACTCAAATAGTAAATTCAAACTTTAGAGGTTTATCGAAAGTATCATTATTGTGCACGTTTTCTCCTATGAGTTGTGATTATATAAAATAATGTAGAAAAGAAAGTATAATTTCATACATAGAATCACTATAAAATTTAAAAGATAAATATATAATATATAATAATATAGAATTGGTATTGAGTATAGAATAATGTATTAAAAAAAAGGGAAAAAAAAAGTAATTTAGCATTAAAAAAAATCCCTTAAAAGAATTAAAAAGAAAAATGTGAAACATAAAATTGATATTGAGTTTGTAGATTAAAATATATAAAAAAGAAATATTTGTGAAATAGAATCTATATAAAATAGATAAAGTTAGTATAATTTAAATTAAGTTTAAGTTTGTGTAGAACTCTATATGTAATTAAAAAAATACATGCTAACGTGGCTCTCTTAGAAAAAAGAAAAGTAAGCCTTCATAATGTGTCAACTAAGTAAGAAAAATACTATTTTTAATTATATATATATATATATATGTGATGAGAAGGTCTCTATCCTCCTCCTATACATGTATTAATGGCTCATTGAGGAACATGATTTTGCAGAATAGTAAAGAAGGCAATCTCTACTCCCTCTCTCTCTCTCTCTTTCTCTAAAACGAACGTATTTCTTTTATAAGAGGAAAGCAACTATTTGATCTCCAGTGTGCTTCCATGGAAGGATTTTCATCAGGATATACAACCTCTACAGGTATGTCTTAAATAAGTTTTACACACACCATGGATTGAAGTATAATTTCTAAGATTTGTTAAATTAGAGGATTAATTCTAACA